CCTGTCCCGTCGTCACAGCCCCGTCACCGCCACAGTCCACCGCCGACCAAAACCCAGGCCGGGTCACGATCCGGCCCGCCGGGCTCGAAAACACTGATCCTGAACCGGCACGAACCTATACTCGTGCCGGGTCCGTGTCCGGGCAGGGTCTTGTCCGGGCCAGTTCCGTGATTTTTTTAAAAAATAATAGAAAAAAATAAAAAAAAAAATAAAAAAGGAGGGTCATCGACCCGGCTTGGCCCGGACCCACCGGGCCGGGTTATGAAATTGATGACCCTTAAACGGCCCGTCTGAAATCCGGTCCAGTCCCGGACTCATGGTCAACTGGTTTGACCGGCCGGGTCCGTGTCGGGTCAGAGTCGAGTCCGGGCCGGGTTGGCGGGCCGGTTGACTCGTGGCAATGTCTACGTCCAGTCGATCGCCGCGACGAACTTCACGGCCGCAATCCACCATCGATCGTCGTCCAATCCACAATCCAACTAACGACGGTGGCCTTCACGGCGAGAGCCACCAAGTCGTCGGCGCGCAGAGAATAGGTTGATTCGAGATGGCTCGAACTCGTCGGCGGCATTGAGGAGAGTGATGAAATCATCGCATGAGAGGCAAAGACGGCGGCGGCGGCTGGAAGAGACGGCCGAAAGTCGGCCCTGTGTGCCTGAGAACTTTTCTAGATTTTGTTGGCTCACTTTTGTACATTAATGAACAAGGTTGAGTTTGTAAATTTGATAACATTCAAGGGCTTAACTAGGGTTATCATATATTTTTCATCTCTTTTAATCAGCGTTAAGTCTAAAAATAATAAGATTATAATATATTTTCCATCTTTTTTAATTAGCGTTGCTTTTTTAGCTAACATTAAATATGGATGTTAGGGCTAGGTTGTAAAATAATTAATATATTATCTCACTAACACATTTATACTAATATAAATTTGATTTTAGTATATATATTTATTTCTTGATACAAGAGAAAATAACAGTTTTACTTATTCTTGTTCACTATATAATGCTTAATTATTGTTTTATTATAAACTTTATTGTCATATAATGTCATTATTATTTATAAAAGTTATAGAAGTTGTACAACTTCTTTTTCTTTTTATTTTATGTAATAACAAATGTCTAATGCATTTTAGTATTATTTATTTATGTAATCAATTTAAAATATGTAAATAAATTTAAAATTAAATAGTGTACAACTATTTTACAAAAATATACACACATTTTTTTTTCTTAGAATTTCATTGTGTATACTAATTAAACAACTTTAATTTAGTAAATGGCAAAAACTCAATCCCTTCTATAATCAAGATTTTTCTAATTTGAATTATAAGGATTTATACTTTATTTAACATACTCTGCAGTGAAAATATATTTTACAATAATTTCATTATAGAAAGAAATCAAAATAAAAAAATAATCATAGTTGCCAATAATATACAAATAGTTCCTAAAGAACAATTAATATATTTTAATTTTAATTTTTGACCATTAGAAAACTATTTAATGCATTTGGTCATCATCTATTAAATGACAAATTATATTAATTTGAAAAATAATTTATTTTTGTATATACAACGAAATAAAGCTTAAGAAAAAATTATATTACCGAATATTAATTCACCAACTTGATTATGCTTGATTAATTGGAAGAAAAAAATTTACCTAACCTGATACGATTTTCTAGAAATATTTTTTGATAAAAATTGAACACTTGTGAGAAAAAATAATATTATAGTTAGAACTTAAAATATATTTTAATATTTATCTTGACCAAAATATTATCAACATGAATCACAAAAAATCAATTTTGTAATTTATTACAATGAATATCAATGAAATTATTGAAGATATTAATAAACTTATATAAGGAAACAATATTTTTTTATCATATCTGATTTTATCTTATTTGAAAACGTGTATATGGAAGTAATTAATGCATATATTTAAAAATTTTCCAAAAAAATGCATGCATTAAATGCTACCAAAATTTTTTACTACTATTTTTAATAAATAGTTATTCTTATTATATATATATATAAATATATTTTAATAATTTTAATAAATTACAATTGAGTTCATAGGTGAATTTGTAATTAATCAAACTATAAATTAATATTTAACATTTAATTTAATAGTTAGCATTTTTTATAGTTTTTATTGAATATACATAAAAAATAAATAGTAATAAAAATAGGATTTTTTATATAGTTCTGCCTTTCGATTATTTCGATTATCTGAATAACTAAAAAAATATAAAAATTAATATTTTTAATATAGTTTGTTTTTTATTTCGGTTATTTGAATAAAAAAATGACATCATATCAAAATAACCTCTATATAAAAATAATAATAATAATAACTGAACTAAAATATAAAATTTTGTACTAAATTTCTGTTCGTTGGATCTCGTTCAATTTTTTGCAATCTGGTAGACATTTTCGTGCAATCCGTATAACCCTAATGTGCATTATTACAAACAGAAAAATATTATTGATTTTCATAAAAAAATATAAATATAAATAAATAAAAAAATCGGGAATATTTTTTCACATAGTTTGGCATATTCGATTATTTTGTTTATTTAAAAAAACTAAATTCGACATTCAACCAACTAATATTATTCGGTCGATTAGCATAATTTCTATA